CACACAAGCGAAAGTTTCAATCGTGTTTTTCCAGTGCTACTTCGTACTTTTGGTCATGTATGTGTATCACATTCGGAAAAGCATTTTTGTCGCGCCACTCCATTTCTTTTTACAATTTAATATAAAATCAAAATTAAAGACTCTTAAATGGATTATTTAAAATATTAAAATATAAAATGCTTGCTATTGATAAGAAGATCCAAGACTTCAGATTTAATAACGTTTTTACGTATTCAGTAATGTTTGTGACGTACGTCGCAAATCTTATCTATCTTTTTCTCAACTTGTTAACTTATATAATAATTTTTTAACATGAGCAAATCAGATAAAGACAATGTACGTATACTTCTGACAATCTTTATTCCTTTTCCATGTATTTCTTTACCTTTAAATGCATAGCAAGAAAGTCCTGCTTCTGAACGGAAAACGAGAAATATTTTGTGTCTCCATTGAATATGCGTATAGTATCCGTTTTTTGTGCATCTATGTACAGACAGGTAAGCGCATAAAATATTCACCAACTTGACATTCGCCTGCCAGTTATTCGCATTACCCGAAGGACAATTGGGTGCTCATCCTATCGTTCGATCGCGTTGCCCTCCCGGGGAATTATTTCTCCATCGCCTTTACAGTCTCGACTGTAATCCTGTGCGGTCGACGTGAAACAGAATAAAGTATTTGTCGCTCTGTCGCGGTATTCCCACAGAAACTTATTAGCGTACAATCGTGATGTCGAGGCGAGAATTGTACGCGCCGAGCGTACAATTCATACAGTAGATACGTGGCAACGAAACGTACACCATTGCATTGAACCATCGTAGTTGCGCTTATAAGTGTACATGCGGTGACACAACTCGGGGATAACTGGGATACTTATACAAATTGAGACGTGAAAGAAATACATATGTCCCTTGACGCGAGTACGGCGAGACTCGTCTTCCCATCTTGCCACTCTTCTTAGTCTTTCCGCTTTTCGTTTCCATATCCTTCGCAATTTTCTTTTCCCTCGTACGTTCCGGGAGAACGTATTTCCGTAACGTGTGTGCGCGAATAAACAAAACGGCAGTAATCTCCGCACGCAACCCGACCAACGCCCTTCTCTTTATCGTGGAAGCACCGTTTACCCGTTTCAATATCAGCTTGCTAAACGAGATCTCAAAGGAGGCACCCATCTAGGAGGTATCCACGAATTTCCCCGAGCGCTCCGCGAGATTCCATTACGAGATGGTACACGGCAGGAGCCGCGTTTACGCTCCACTGGCACGCAGATGCGTCAATCAGACCAGCAGGGAATTCGGCTGGTTGGTATTGAGTCGCGATAATCGAAAATGTTCATGTACCCTTCGGGTAAAACGATTGTCAATCAGATTGATCGATAGATAAGGACCATTCGTATATCCGCGACTCCTCCACGAATCTTCTGAAATTCGATTTTACGCGCGGGGTACAGCTTTGCTGGACGTGGTCATCACGTTAAAACTGTCCGGCGTTGACAATTAGTTTATGAATGTAGGTGACAGATAAAAACGCGGATGATTGATTGAAATAGATTATGGATATCGCTTCGAATGCAATGCATAGATATTTCTGTATTAATTTTTCTTGATCTCATTTTTTTAATATATAAAATATTACAAAGCTTGAAATTAGTATGCCTATCTTTAACGTTTAATCAAATTTTGTATTGTATTTGAAAGACCATTATAAGTTACTTTAAGCAATTATATGTCAAAATTTAAAAACTGCTCTACTGAAAAATTGTTAACTTTGAAATGTACTTTTTAAACTTTAAAAAATAACACGTGTTACTTTAAAATTTAAATTATTATTTTTTATCAACGCAGCAAATTGTATTATATGTAGATTATTGAATCACATTCCTTTGACATTCCTAAAATGATTTTAATTAATTTCTGTTTGTGATACCGTTATCAAGTCGAATTGATAACTATACAAACAGAAGAAATTTCGTGTTTCACGAAAACTCTGAAACGTGTATTCTTCCATCTGTTTCACACGAAATCCGTATAATCGAGGATGACGACGACATAGCTCAACAAGATAACGGATACATTAGAATGACCATCCATTGCATTAGTTGCCATTGATAAACTGGTTCTGAACGTGACATCATATGTGTTGGCACCATGGCGAAACCCGGCATTGTTTAGACCGTGTGATAAAGTTCTGCAATTCCCGCCGGCAGTTATAATGGTGATTGCTTCGAACGACGAGCGTCAGAATAACACGATGTAGCACGTGAAATTTCGGACTAGTTCCGTGTCGCTAAAAGAATATATGCATACAAATTCACGTTCGTACAATGACATATTTTAAAAGATATTAATAAGAATATACTATCAAAGATTAAAAACTTTGTGAAAAATATCAATTTCACATTCGAAGTTTTACAATACTCCAAATAAAAATTAATTGTAAAACCAGTATTATATAATATTTTAATATACATATAGCTTTCGCTTTGTTCAATTATAACAATTGAAACGCATTGAGAGAGAGAACATCAAATTTATTCAGAAATTATTACAGTCTCAAATTATAATCACGCGAATAGCAGATACATAAAATAGTACTGCGAAAGTATGCTATTTTATTTTTAATATATCTATTATAATATAAAGATAAGGTACATATTTGTGCATCTTATTTTTGGAAGATGAATGTTTTGTATAGAGAAGTATAAAATTTTGAATTTACGCAGGATGAGAATATTTTCACTTAACGATGAAATTAATTAATTAACATTTTCACTTAATGATTAAGTAACACGGTCGATGCTAAAACGGCATTAATTGCAAGATATTTAAGTAATTTAAGAAAATCTTTAATAAAATTATGCATGATTAACTTATGACAATAAATTTTACACAATCTGCTCGCAGATTGCAGGTGTTGAATGGTGCATTGTGTTCAAGAGAACGATAGGCTATTCGAAAAATTGCATTACGCAACATACATAAAATCCTTTGACACTTCAATATAAAATTGTAAACAAACGAATTATCTCTCTATACATTTAAGCCAATGAGTGATTCTCCAGAACGAGGAAAATTATTTATTTTTTTGACGGTGAGCATATTTATTGCACACTTATTTTTCTTTCCCCTATGCGAATGTAATGAACTTGATCTTCTTGATCTCATGTAATTAACAAGACAGTAATTAGCAGAGACTCGGATAAAGTTCCTGCGAACAAAAACTCTACGCCCCAGCGAGACTATTAGAAATCGTTGCAGTGCGCAGTTTAATCTGAAATACACAATGAAATAGACAAAAATACACACCGCTAACATAGAACCTTTAGCATTTCTTAGACATGAATTAGCAAAAATAAATTATTCATTTTTGTTATGTTTTTATTGACAAAAATAAATCCAAATAAAAAATAAATCTTAACAATCATAAACTTTTTACGACAATTTATTCTTAATTTCATTACAAGCTATAATACTCTCCCGATTCAAAAATATACTTTGTAATTATATGTTTTTAATTGTTTTCTTTCTTAATTATTTTATACTTAGTAAATCTTTATATTGTTTTAAGACAAAAAGTTAATTACAGGAATATATTTTGCATAAATACTGATCCTTTAAATTAAATTAATATATGAACTATCAATTTTAAAGGGAAATAAAAGAAAGAAATAAAAAAGAGATATGCATTTTTCATATATGTATATTTTAAAAAATGTTTAGATCATTTACTCGTTAATCCGTATCATATTAATCATTTTTAAAATTTTTGTCGTACGTACATTGACATAAATATCTATATTATATATTTCTTAAACCACAAATATAAGATCCATCCGTATTTCAACTTTGTTAATAAACGATCTTATTCGTGCATTGAAACACACTTACTGCAGTCTTTTCCACGTCTTTCTATTGCAGCCAGTGGTCGCGCGATCGTTATTCTCAAATCTGCTTGCAGCGTTTCTCGCGTAATTAGCAGTACCACGTGCGAGCAAAACTTAGCTCATAAATTTCGCAGAATGGAAATGGCGTCACGTCCGATCTCTCGCGCGATCTTTTCATCTTTCTCTCTTCTCCCGGTGCATTAAACGTTATTCTCCTTTCCAGAACGTCTCTTTCGCGTTCTGCGGCCACGGAGAAATCAAAAGACGCTACTCACGCTGATCACGTACTGAGCGCTGAGGCCAATCTGTTCTCCTCTGCCGTCACGTTTGACAGTTTATGTCATTCGCGTTGCGCCCTATGTACGCGCGATCTACCTTTCCAACTTGGGTAAGATGTCAATCATGTTTTAGCCCAGAGGTTTCGTCACCGGAATTCGAATTTTCGGGCGTTTTATGGCTGTATCCGCCGTCGAATCACGGCGTTTCGTTTGAATTATGAGATTCCCACAAAACGAGCCTATTACTGTTATCTGGGTCACAGAATTGCACTTATTTTACGAGTTTTTTGTTGTCAATAAATGCTTTTATGTCTTGTGCTTTTATTACTCGCTCTGAGCTTTCAGAAGTTATATACGAAACATTCCACATTTTAGATAGCATATTTTCTTATTAAAAGTGCTTTATTTATTTAGATAGCTAATGTTTTATAATTTTTTTAAATTAAATCTCAGTGCAGTAGAATTATTTCATTATTAATCTCTCATAATCGAAGAGTTATATTATATTAATCCCGTAATGTCTTTATTACTTATTGTGAAAAATGATCGTCCAATCAAAAATATTTTTTAATATTATTTAATTTTATTTTAAAAATGTTTTGATTATAACGTTATTTCTTTAATTATTATAGTTGTATATATATATATATATATATATATATATATTAAGAAGTATTACTCGATATTTCTTGTTAAAATGATATTAATGAAAAGATTTGACAGAATAATCAGCGAAGGTTACAAGCACCTTAGATATTATGTTATTAAACTTCTCATAAATGATGGCTAAGTATGATAAATATTAAGCTTCATGTTTCCTCATTTCATGTTTCCTCCTTCATTTCTCTCACTAAATTCATTCGTGCATATTATCGAAATATTTGCGTTATCGGTTTTTCGAACAGAGAGATATCGTTCTGTCTCTTCCATGAGCGAGAGCAAAAGTGGCGGGCGTGCGATCGGTCTGTGTTTCAGGTTTAGAGGCCGGCTTCAAAAATGACTCGCGTACCTGTTAGAGGGTTTTCGAGCGGACGACAAACACGCGGCTACACTCGGCCGCCGTGATTTTCAAACTGTTAACAGCCGGTCGTCGAATAGCTTCGATACGAACGCCAACAGATTAATGCTAATTTACTTGATATTTACGCTTCTCCTCGACACTGTGACTGGGCAACATATTTCCATTGTTTTACTACAGTATGTCAATATTGAATAGTGCACGACGATAGACTATCGGGATATTTACTATGGCGTTGCCTACGCGAATACTTCAAAACGTGAGCATGCCATATGTATGAAACTGATAGATTGTTCGATTATTAAATACAAAATTTGAAACTCTAGATTTGAACAAATATAAAAAAATGTTGCTCTTGAGCTCGAAATATACTAGTCCTAAAACGAATTAGTTCAAATTTATCGTACGATTTTGTATTTATTAACAAACATTTTTTGTATTTCTAACTCCTGCCTTGGGGGTTACACTAACAAGTAGCATTTTAATATTCAAATAAATCTATTTATCAATTTGTGTAAATATGATACCAAATCTATACTGTAACAATATTTATTAAGCAAATTTAAACTGCGATATATGATTCGAAGAGGCATAACATGATTCTCGAGAAATTCCTAAATTTTCAGCCCTAAGGAAATCAAGCGCCACCAGAGGCACAACAAGATATTATAACGAAGGTGTGTCAACATTCGGATCGGAATTCGGTGCATAATTCAATAAAAGGAAATAGTGAATAAGACTGAAAAAGAGAAAAAGAAAGATGGGATATAACATGTAGAGAGAAAGGAACATGATGTTAAATTTATGTACGAAAAATAAAATGAAATATAGATATAAGAATCTCCAGAGAATGGAGTTGATTCGTATTCTTTGTATAAACAAAAAAATATTTTTTTTTTCAAATAACATTGAAAAATTACGGTATAGATGGATGGCAAGAATCGTACAATAACTTTGACAAATAATATATTAAATAAAAGAATAAAATTAGATATTAAAGATTAAAATTTAATATTTATTAAATAAAAGAATACAATTAATAAATAAATAATAATAATCAAATATATCAGATAGATATATCAATGAAGATAATAGAACATATATTTCATTTTTTTTTTTAATTAAGAGAAAAATTTAACTTGAATGCGAAGATGCAGAAAGAGAAAGAGAAAGGGAAAAAGACAGAGAAAAAGAAAGAAATTGCTCTTTGGTGAAATCAAATCATTATTATACATAATTGTATTACGTAAACATTTGTTCTAATAATAAACAAGATAATAATGCATGCAATATATGTATATATTCTCTGCATGCCAAAATTATTCAAAATTTCATGAGTTGTGTTGTTAATTGCAATTAATTAGATCTTCTTTATTTTTAATAATGAGTTTTAACAATTTATTTTGATAAAGATATTATTATTGCTTATATTTTTAATATAAAGTATTTTTTAATTATTTGCTTGATATAATATTTGCATGGTGATTATATTATATATTGAAACGTATATTCTACTTTTATTAATACATGTATCTAAAACTTGTAAAAAACTTTTAACAGCATTTTTATGGACTGCATACATTTTAACATTTTTTCAATTTTCACATGATCGAATATATTTTTATAAACACACTTATACACACAATTTTATAGATTAATATTCGTCGTAAATTTATATTGTGTATATGCTATGTTAGCTATGTTACGTATATACATATGCGTATTTTAACATAGGTTGATTTTTAAAAACAAGTATGTTCAAACATTTTGTATGAACAGACAATTTCTTAATGTGGCATCCTATTTAATCTATCTATTTTTATTCCACACTTTTGATAGACACAATGATTGATTAAAATCATCCGATTAAATTTTAATATACAATACAAGCAAGTAAATATCGCGTATAATCAAAATGATTGAAAATTTCTCGTCTCTAGAAATTGGAACGTAAGGGATGAAGATGGGGTCTATAGTTTGTTTTCTCAAGAATTTAAACAATTTGGAGCATTCGGAATCGCTGACCCAGGTTCGTACAATCCCATTCTGCTTAACCCAAAGCGGTCGGCCGTACAATTGTCAATAGAAGTTTGAAAGCACAAATTGATGATGATTGAATTGATATAATAAGAAGAGAATTTTATTAGATAAAATTAGATAAGATTAAAATAAAATAAATTTCAATTTTATTTTTATTTTATATAATTTATATAATAAAATTCTTTTCTTATTATATCGATTCAATCATCATCAATTTGTGCTTTCAAACTTCTATTGACAATTGTATGACCGCTTATTATATCAATTCAATCATCATCAATTTGTGCTTTCAAACTTCTATTGACAATTGTATGACCGCTTATTATATCAATTTAATTTTCTTTTGTCTATTTAATTTTGTCTTTCAATTTTATTTTATCTTATTAAAATTATTTTTAATAAAATTCTAATTATTATGATATGTTACATAAATTTCAATTTCAATAATCTTATAGTGTAATTTATTACAATATTATTATTTATATATTATTATTCAGATGTTCCATTATATCCTTTAAACAATTACACATACATCCAAGTCACAGGCCTACTATTTTTTTTAATAAATAACGTTATTATCGTGGATAGAATACTTTGAACTAAATTCTATGCAGTTGCGATTTTTATGTGATTTTACATGCCATTTCTTTTTTCCTATTTATACAGTTGCTTACAGTTTCCAGCACGCTGTGAATTAATGATTTGTTTTTTCATAAACAGGAGATTTCCTCGTCTACTAGTGCGTCCTTCGCGGCCATTAATTCAGAGGGTTGATAATCTCTTACATCATTTCTCAAGCCGTCTCGCTACAAAATGCTGCGGTGAATACTTGCGTATATCGCGAGTGTACATACCTTTGTCGCGTGTCTCTGGAGATTTTTCCAGCTGGGGATGAAATGCGGCTTGCAATTAGATCTACCTAGCGCGTCATATTTGCGGAACTGCGCTCAAGATACTTTCCGTCCACGCAATTTACATCTCTCCCCAGCTTGTCCTTTCCTCCTGAGAGCATTTTCATAAGAAGTATTACTCGTATTCATGCATTACTCTATCGCGATTAGATCATTGACACACGAAAAGTAACACGTTATTCATTCAGTAGATGCAATAAAATTGATATATAATATATAATAATTTTATAAAAATTTTATTTTTCTTGCATCAATTTCAAGCACTCATAAAACTCATTGATATATAGAATGCCGTGTTGATATCGACCAAAATTGCTACCGTCTGTCAACCCAATTATTCCGTAATCAGTCAACCAATAGGGTAGTCACTGTCTGATCTGTACGTTCATTACGGATCATAAACATAATTTAATTACGTCTGTAATCTCGTTCAATGCTTGATCGATTAAAAGTATTAATCTTTCATGCAAAAGTTAAATATATTTCTTGATAACATGATAAATTGTTATCATTAATTATTATTCATGAAGCTTCAACTTCTGTATAAAATGTTACAGAACTTCAGAAATATTAATTTACAAATGCTTGATACATTTCAAACTTTTGGAAATTGATATGAAAATTATTAATGTATAACTGATATTTTACATATCTCAGTATATCAGATAAAATTGGAAAATTATTATAAAAACCTTAAAGCTTCCAATCTCATTAAAAATTTGTCGTTGTTGATGCGATGTAAAAATTAGAACACACTATGTAAAAATTACATCATATATATTTTTAATTGAAATTTATAAACAATTACATTTCTATAAAGTGAGGACAGTAAATAATGTGTTTAAAAATTTTATGTGGAAAATGTCAATAACCGGTTTAAAATGGCGGAAGAAGCATTTCATTCCAGTCGAATAAATTTCGTTTAAACGTTTGTTTAGCATTCTAGTGTTCCAACTTTAATGAAGAAAAATATCATGTCGCATATCCTTTAGATGGCATCATAACCCGGTATCAGACCAACTAGTTTAATCTGTTTTAGAGCGATATATCATTGCTAACGCTTATTCCACAGTCTGTCAGTTCTTCCGGTACAAAAGAACAATGCTGAGATTTATATGGAAATTTGCTATTCCTCTTATATTTCATGTATTTTAGTTGGAGATCTCTGGGATGAAAAAATGTACCTATACAGCATATGTCGTCTCTTCAAGCTCGGTTCACGAGCATTTTTATCCGCTATTCGATTTGCATTGTAGATTTAATCGGAAAAAGCATATAGAGATTTTTTTTAGATAGAACTTTAGTTACATTATACCCTGCAACATCAACACCAAGATTATGAAGCTGTCATTTATGTATTAATTTCACATTAATAATTTCCACGTTAATTTTAAACAGCTTCAAAATTAACAAATTTTTCTAGATCAGTTCTTATGTTTCAATAAAAGATAGAATAAAATGAAATTTAATAAGAACATCGTATTGTTTTACGCACGATAAATGTCAAATAGTTATTAATCAAACTGTTTCTAAATTAAGTCACTTTATAATATAAAATCGCATGAGACGACATAGCGCGTATAAGAATGGAGTTTCGGTGGATCTGTAACTGCAGAGCTTCACAGACGTTGCTTGGTGGTTGGTTAAATAACGAGCGGTGCATATTTAGCCGCGGCTTCTCTGCAGAGACATGCAAATGTACAGCGATGGCTCCTCTCGGTTAGTTGCCTCTATACTACGTGAAATATACTTCTCTTCATGCTTAATCAAGATTTCGCCAGCCATTATACTCCGGAGAACCATTTTTCATAAAGTTTTGCATTTTGACAAATCTGCGATGTGTAAAGAGTATAATATTTTTACATAAATCTTTCATTCTGATTTCTTATTATTTCTACAATATATTTAAATATAATGCATATACATGTATTATATAATATACCAATTTATTCATTTATTCGAACTGTCTATATCTCTATTCGCATGTCTTATTATTGCTACATCATTTACAATTTATTTTACAAATGATACATTGTTTATTTTTAAAATATTGTAGTATAAATCTTTTAACGTGTCAACATTTATTTTAAGAAAAATCGAATGTTTAGTTAAAAAAAATTGCACAATTGAAATTTTCATTATGGTTATAGACAAGAATTAATTTTTATTTTATCTCTGATTTTTGTATGATTTATAATTTTATTATTTACCTTTTACTTAATACAACTGCGGATTTGTAATTTTTATTTCTAAATTTCGTGATCTCACGCTCTTGGTCTATGGCTATCTGCTTTACCTCGTTTTCGTCGCTTGATTATCTGTGATGAGAGATTTAAATTGTGTAGTTTATTAGCGACTCAACCTGAATCAAAGAGTGAATTACTAGAAATTTTTCTTTTTGTTAAGATAGTTTCAAATGCAACCGAAATATTTGAAATTTGTAATTAAAATGTATTATATGTATGAAGATATATTATTTTCGTAAAACTTATGAGCGCAGCAAGTATCGCGCTGTTCTCAGTAGACTACATTAAGTGTACATTTATTAAGTTAATATCGACCGTGAAATATAGATACGATATGCTTATTATAAAATAATGCATTAATGCACTAATACTAAATAAATATAATAAATATAACAAATTTTTAAATTCTGTTAAATTACTAAAAGAATAAAGAACAAAACCTTTATAAAAATTTAATACTAAATTTAATATTAAAAATACAAAATTAATTACTTATAAATTACTTTAAGTATTAAAAGTATTGTTGTTCAGTACTTATAATATTTTAAATAAGTAATTAAATTAATAATTATTAATCAATTTATTATTGTCTTTTAGTATCTAAATTGGTCAATATTAGATTTTTGTACGTTTTTAGAAAAAAACAGTT